GTGATCGTACGCGCCCAGCGGGCTTGCGGCTCCTCCTCCCATGGGGCCGCTCAGTGCAATGAGAAGATCCGGTGAGGGTGCCCCGAGGAGGGGGAGGGGGACCTCCCCTCGGGGACTGCCATGGATCCTCCGGTTATCTCCAGCGACCGCCCGCCCCTGATGATGGACCTTATGTGCGGGCCTAATGCACCACTGACTCGTGCCTTCCTGTTTTGCGGCTGGCGTGCAGGCCCGGTCGACCTCTTGCTAAACCCAGCACAGGATATTTCTCGGTCGGAGTTCCAGGCGGAGCTGAGACCAAGCCTCGATCAGGCGTGCCTGCTGTTTGCAGCTTTGGATTGCAGCACCAAGTCGGCAATTCGTGAGATACCATTGCGGCTACCAAGTGGTCGCTCCGGCCCGCCTCCCCTTCGCAGCCACGAACACCCGATGGGATTGCCAGGTCTCAAGATTGACGACCAGCGCAGAGTATCCAAGGATAACTGCGCTTGCCAGTTCGTGTTGGACGAGCAGCAGCGCATCCTAGAGCGCGGTGGCGGCGCCATTCGGGAGAACCCCAACAACAGCTTACATTGGTGCATCCCTCAGGAGGCAGAGATGTGGGCATCTGACCAATGGTGGGATACCCGGTATGATGCTTGTTGTTTTATGGGCGCCAGGCGGAAGCGACAGCGTCTTAGGCACAACGTCTGGGAGTTGACCCAGGGTCCTTCTTTGCTGTGCCACCACACGCACCACCCACAGGAGTGGCAGCCTTGGGGCACAGGGTAGGGTGTTCTACCCCTCCAAAGAGGAGGCAGAGTACACTGCCCCGCTCGCATTTCACATTGCAGTGGCCTGCAGTTGGTGGGCTGGTCGCTTGGGCCTGGCTAAGTTGCGAGTGCCTCGAGGTCCCCCGATTCAGTGTGTCGGCCGGCGTGAGCACTGGCTGGAGATTGACTCCCGGGCCTTGCGGGAATGGGCTATGTCGCCCCTGGCTATTTCCCTTGGTCTTCGTCCGATCGACCCGGGCGAGGCGGCCCGGGTCCCAGTGCGAGTGGAGGTCGCCTCGGTACTTCGGGAGGACAAATCTTTGCCCCCCGACGTTATATATGTGGGGCGAGGTCACCATTCCCACAGGCTGCCGGTGACACAGTGGGCCTCGCCGTTCGTCCCAGGCCACAACTGTGGCGCTGATGAGTGGCTCCCCCTTTACGTCGAGCACGTTCTGTCCAACTTGCAGACGGATCTGGTGCAGCTCGAAGGGCGTACCCTGGCCTGCGATTGTGCACTCAGTCAGGTTTGTGAAGGTGATCTCCTGGCAGGCCTGGTGTTCGACGCCGGGCGCCCACAGGGCATACCTCATCAGGGTGCAGCGGGCCGGCCCCGCCGATCCGCCCAGAAGCGAAGGCGGCGGCTGCCTCAGCCCTTCCCACTCCTGTAGGGGCAGTTATTCCATACCTGCATCAGGATTCAGTGGTTGCCACTTTCCAGTCCTTCTTTCCTGGGGTGGAGTGGAGTGACTTCCGCTTTCCCATGGTCGAGGACCTGGTCAATGCGCCCCCGTTTACTGACTACGTGCAATGGCCCACTCTTGCCTCAGCTGGTGAGTGCACAGCAGCGCCAGTGGCAGCGCACTGCCGAGGGCCAGCAGGTTGGGGCTCTGGCCCACCGCGCAGCCTTGCCTCCGGCCCTTCCTTTCGGTCTCCAACCCGATGTGCACTTTGATCTCGCCCTTGAGCTTGCCAGGTACCCCACCCCGTTCGAGCAACCGCCTGCCCTCGATCTTGACCTGTGCTACGCGGCCGAGGTGACGGCCTGCAAGCGCGGGGGGCTTCGCGAGTGGCGCCAGGCTTCTCTCGGGGCTATCCGCGAGCTTAAGCGGCGCTGGGCTGGCGTGGATTCCCGGCTCAGGGCGAGCCAGCAGGCCCCTCTTCGGCGAGTGACGCTAAGAGGGATATCGGGCTGCTAGCACTGCTGTGCCTTTTGGTGTCGTGGGGGGACCCGACACTTCCGCACGATTTCCTGTTCGGGATGGCAGCCGTCGGTACAGCCCCAGTCTATGGCGTGTTCCCCCTTCAGTCCGCGCGTGAAGTTTCTCATGCAGAGGTGCTTGCCGATGCCTCGGCATCCAACGCTCGGGTGCGGGCGAGCTTACGTCCGGGGCGGGACGATGCATTCCTGTTGGAACAGAGCCTTCGCGATGCTGAGAGTGGGTTCTGCTCCGAGCCACTCCGTTACCCACAGCTCCTTCGAGCAGTGGGGGGCCTTCCTTTTCGCCTGATCCCCCGCTGTGTGATTACACAAAGCAGCGGCAAACAGCGTATAATCGACAATGCCGACACAGGCGGCCAATCCGAGCTGAGCTCCGATCCGAACAAGCTCGTCTTGTGTTCCCCGTTGCGACCGGCACAACATGCGGCGGCCTTGCTTGCTTGTCTTGATGAGCCGTCTCGCCAGCGGGCAGCTGCCGAAGATGCGCTTGAGGGCGGGGGCGAGGACTGGCCCGAGGCCTACCGCCACTGCCCCATGGATGGTGCCTCATCCAGGTGCTGCGTTGTGGTGTGGTGGCACCAGGAATGGGGCGAGCCAGCTTATCACCTCTACACTGGTTTGCTGTTTGGCCTCCCTTTGGCAGTCACGAGCTTCAACCGCTATAGTCGGGCGGCCGAGGCGTTGGGCCGGCGCCTCCTTGCCATTCTTGTTTCTATGTACTTCGATGATGCTCATCTCACAGATTGGGCTTCATCCAAAGGCTCCGCGCAGTCTAGCTTTGCTGGCTTGAACACCTGCCTTGGCTCCCCCTTTGCACCCGCCAAGCGTCAGCCGATGGCCTTGAGCGGAACCTTCCTGGGCCTCAACTTTGATTTCGAGGGATGTCTCCAGTCGGGTCTTGTGCGCTTCTTTGTTCGCGATCGGCTGGTTTCCAAGGTGCATGATATGTTGGATCAGGCTATTGCTTCCAGTTCCCTTTCCCCAGGCCTTGCAGCTAAGATTTATGGGACCTGCAACTTCCTTGAGGAAGGGATGTATGGGCGCGTGGGCGCCGGTGGGCTTCGCGCGATACGCGAACGCTCCGATGAGGGTGGCCGGGAGCTGACCCCGCCAATCCTTGCTTGCTTCTCTCTCATCCGCGCAGTTTTGGCGGTGCGGCCAGAGCGGGAATTCGAGGTGTTGCCTCGACCCATCGCCCGTTTCTGCGCTGCGAGCGACGCAGCGGAGGATACTCCCGGGGCGGGATCCGGTGGCTTCCACCTGGTGTGGCTTGATGCCCCGGAGATTCGAGAGAGCTTCATAGCCAACATCGGTCCCGAGGTCTATGCCCAGTTCACTCCGGGAGAGCATAAAATTGCACAACTCGAGTTGGCGATGGTGTTGTACGCCTTGGCCGTTCGGGCCCCCTCCTTTCGTGGGCGGCGTGGCTACTGGTATATTGACAATGTAGCCGCCCTGATGTCCCTCATCAGAGGCCGGTCGAGCTCTCCTGACCTCGAATGCCTGGCGCAGTTGATTCACATTGCAATGTTTGCACTGCGCACTTCTTTCTTCTTTGAGTACATTCCGTCGAAGACGAACTGGGCTGATGCAGTCGGTCGTGTCGGCTTTGCCGACCCCTGGCTCCACCAGCGTGGCTTCTCCTGCCACGTTGCTTCTTTTCCCTTTCAGCTCGTGGGTCTCCCTTTCCTCGCCGTGCTGCGGGTGTTCGAGTTTCTGTGAAGGAGTGCTTTGGGGCTAAGTGCATTGGGTATTACGTCCGGGGTTTTGCATCCGAAAGGGGTTGACCTTTCGTTGCATCTCGATACCTCGAGGTTTTACCAAAGCACTATCCCGGTGTGCCCGGGTTCTCCTTCATAGGTTCGAACGTGTTGCAGCTGTGAGTGCGAGTTGCGAAAAAGTGTCGAGCACGAGCTGATAGGTTGCTGCACAAGAGGGAATGTATACATGTGTAGAGTTTGGCAGGCTTGGGTGCACATGCATCATTCTAGTCTTGTTGCTGCTGTCCGCCACTTTGGCTCAAGTCTGATCCAAAACGGCGGGCAGCTGATTTTTGCCCACCCACCCACCCTGATTAGACCCGGCCTCCCGTGGAGTCACCCGGTCTAGTTGGGGTTGCGCGAGTTGCGACTACCTTGAGGGCTGAGGGAGTGACCCTCTTCCTGGGACGGGTATTACGTCCGGGGTTTTGCATCCGAAAGGGGTTGACCTTTCGTTGCATCTCGATACCTCGAGGTTTTACCAAAGCACTATCCCGGTGTGCCCTGGTTCTCCTTCATAGGTTCGAACGTGTTGCAGCTGTGAGTGCGAGTTGCGAAAAAGTGTCGAGCACGAGCTGATAGGTTGCTGCACAAGAGGGAATGTATATATGTATGTCCATGTATGTATATGTATGTATATGTATATGTATATATATATATATGTATATATGTTTATATGTAGATAGATATGTATATATACAGTATGTATATATATATATATATGTATATGTATGTATGTATGTATATACATATGTAATTTTACTGCACATATTTACATTAAAAAAAACTGAGTGCATGAATGCGTGCATGCATTCATAATTACACGTGGCTTGAGCCTCTCTCTCTCTCTCTCTCTCTCTCTCTCTCTCTCTCTTTTTCTCTACATATATGTATATATATCTTTATATATATATATATATGTATCTATATGTATATATGTTTGCATCTCCACATGCATATGGACATGCATCAATACGCACATACCCATGTACATACGTACGTACACGCCACACACATATATGCGAACGCAAGCTTACACATGTATACCTACCAACCTATACCTACCAACCTGGTGACATACATGCGCACACACATCTATCTATAATATACACACACGTTTATGTGTCTTCGTATGTTTGTGTATGGATATAGATTTCGAACTAGATACAGATACAGATATCGACAAGAGTAATAACACCAATGCCATGCAGCTGAACAGGTATGTGTCAAGCATTGAGGATGCAGTGACCGGTAGCACGTGCAAAGGTACCACGGTGACTCCTGGTGTCGTAACTTGGCAGATTTAGGAAAGCGTAGCTGCACGGGGCTATATGGAACCGATTGGTTTGTGTGCGGCTGACTTAGGAGTTGAATCCGGCACCGGCTGCTGCTGCGAGCGCAGGCTGCACAGCTGAGCATCCCCAATGGTTTGTTTGCTCCGTGTGCATTATGTGGAGGCCTAGACGTGCCAACCTGGAAACTGTTTTTGCAGAGGAATAGTTAGGGAAGTACCAAGTAATTCTAGGACTGCCTCTGCCGGCATGTATTAACAGCCTGACGCATTTCGACAGCAGTACTGCCAAGACAAAGGTGTGCTTGAGTGGTATATGTCATGTTGCAAAGGGGGGCGGTTTTGGCAATGCCCGCCAAATGCTTGCGCTTGCAACGGTACTTCATACTCGGCTCGCAAACTCTCCCCGTACTGGCTACTTCGTGGACGAAGCCCAGTGATAGATCTGACGAGGGCGATCTCGAGCGGGGTGATGCCACTGCGCTGCCTTACTGAGCTTGAGAGAGCGGGGGGTTTGGACAGTTTAGTCTCAGGTATGATACGTGTCTCCAGGCTGCCCCCGTCTCAACTCTCTGACTGGTCTCTGCAGCGGACATACCTTGTGTCAACGCCCGTGCCGTTCACAAAACACCAGTCATGGTCGCGGACCTGAAGTTGGCGAACGCCGGTTCAAGCATGACCCGTTCCAAGCATTGCAGTGTAAACCGACCGACGTGCTTGGCAAGCGTGAAGCAGAACTTACCGAAGTGACACGCGCAATGCATCACGGCTGTGGTTGGAGATTCCTTGGTGCCTTGATGCTGCCAGGAGTGTCATCGATGGGCTCGGGATTCTTGAGACCTGGCACAAGATTCAGATTCCTGTCGCCCAGTGGCCCAGTGTTTCCCGAAAGCCCAGTGAGGACCAGGCAGAGTGGCTTCAAACCTTACCGCAACCTTCCCAATGTTGCGGTTGTAGTTGGCAGGTGTGTCTGTGGGATTTATTGGACTTAGCAGCGAGATCTTACTAGAAACCAGCTACTAGAATGAGCAAGCCAGCCTTCAAGGACAGGAAATGCTCCTGCATCAGGCTTGGATGTTGCTGGTTCATGCTCGGCTAGGATGAACTTCGTGCTGCCAGTTCGGCCAAGCTCGTCAAGCTTTTCGTGTGATGTCGAATGTAACAGTGAAGATGAACTGGCCCTGGAACAGGGGACGCTGACAGGGCCACGGCAAAGCCAGATTCTGAGTTTCAGTGCACCATGTCGTCCTGCACAGTCCTAGGTTTTGTCTAGCACGTCAGTTATCGCTCACGCTCATTCGCAGCTGCTACGTGTGTTCCGGAGAGCACTGCTAGAAGTGTTTTTTTCTATATGCCGAGGGTAACCGCATGTTCCTTGCGGTTGCTCGGCTTTGAGTGTCCAAGCCTGTGAAATACTGCGGAGAGAGACATTCTGCAAGCATTCCGGTGCTAATGCAGCTGTCCCAGAGCAGCACTTGACGAAGACTCTTGGAGGGGAGTAAGGAACGATGCGTGCTGTCGCTCCCCACTTCCAAAACCAGTGAACAACGCTGCAGCGTGAGGTCAGTGGAGAGCAAGTTGCCCAAAGTCGTGGGACCTCGTGTCATTGCGGGCCCGGGCGTCATTGCGCCGAAGGCAGTGCGATGCAGGAGAGACTTTGGCAAGCTGACATGCATTGACATTGGAGGTCCCCATGAACCCGATCAAGCCGTCCACAGAGACGTCTGTCCCAACAGTTAGCCGCGCACTGAGTGCTTACTGGCGAGGCTTACTCCCGGTACTGCAGGATACTGTAGGTTTCCATGGTCGGTGTTTGGTCCTGTCAGCACCCTGGTCGGCTGACGGGGCCGCAGCCGCAGCGTGACAAGGTGTGCCTCTGCCAGCCGCAGCAGGTGCGACAGTCCAGGTGGGCTGTGGTGGTTAAGGAAGGTTCCACGAACTGTCACAACCGCTGAAGTTGCTCAAGCTCAAGAATGGCTGCACCGCTGCAACCTGTTCAGGCCCCTGATCTTGCATCTTATCTGGTGCTGCTTGCGCAGGTTCGCCCAGAAATGCCACTGTTGCAGCCGCGTGGCATGCCAAAGCCCGAGTGCAACAGTCTACGGACGGCTGCAGCTTCTGAGTGATGGGCCGAGGCAGCTAAAGTTGGCCAGAGGAGCAGTGCCGACAATGTCCTCTTCTCAAGCCAAGACGCGAAGAAAAAACAGGCTGTCAGGCTGATCAAATCCGAAGCTGCCAGCGAGGCCAATAAGTGGCACAGGTCCCAGCGCTTCGCTGGCAGCTCAGGGAACCACACGAAAGCTTCATTTGCAAAATGCTCCCACCTGCCCTGCAGCCTTGAAAGAGATAGGTCCTCCGCCACCACCCCGGCAACGGCATCAGCAACCACTGCGACATCTCCTGCCGCCGTGGTACCTCGCGCTGCGGGAATGCCGGAGGCTTATATAGTCACATAGGTACAAGTACATTGTTAGATTGGTCACCTGAGCGGCTGAACGTGTCTTAAGCTTAAGATGCATACCCCCCAGCGGCGGGCTGATTACCGCCACTGCTGCATAACAAACACTCTGCGATTGCAAGCAAGTACGATGCCCTCGCATCTCTTGAAAAAGCACTCCCGCCGATTCGAGGCACCATTGGTTTGCATTGGCATTGATTTCTTCATTCAAGACGTAGTTAGTTGACTATTCAGGATATTCACGGCCTGGAGGGCTTGATAAAAGAACCCAGCCTCTCAATTGCTCAAAGGTCAGCTGGGCGGGTGGGAAAAATTGCCTAAGCTTGCGGAGTTTGAAAGATATTGAACCACCCACCAATGCATGAACAATGCCTTCCTCGACACAATCCCCTCCTGGCCTCCTGGCAGAGGCAAATCACCCCACCACAGACAATGCCGCCAACCAAGGGCCGTACCACCGCGCATGCCCACTGCGCCGGTTCAACCGGTTCGGCAAGGAACCCAGTCTACGTCAGTCCGCGTCCTGCTCCTTAGGATGCACCGGGCGTGGCTTTGGAGCGTGGGAGAAGCTGCATTCTGCATGCATTGCATGCTTTCCGGGAGATGTTTACTTGGAAGGCTATAGAGCGTCGTGCCTGCACAGGGGGCCTCAGCCGCCAAAGGCTCCTCCGCCTGCGCGGGAAGCTGAGAGTTGACTTGCACGAAGCAGAGTCCAAGCCGTTTAAATGCTTGAGCTTGTAACGTATGGTGTTGATCCACAGATCTCCGCAGCATGCGGAGATCCGGCGTGAAGAATTGGTCAGCTGAGCGCCAGCATGTTGCCCGGGCCCGTCTTGAGCATTGCTGGGTGCAGGGGGCTTGTCAACAAAGTGGCCAGGGGCTTATACAACATGTTTGCACTTTTGAAAGCACTTTCAGGATTGCTCCAAGAAGCTTCTACTAGGTTTTTCTGGAAAAACCTGGTAGGGTCAGTCTGAGTCGTTTCTGCGAGGTGCAGTCAACGACGGCAGCCAAGGCTCCTGGAGCCGAACCTTCAAGCAGCTGCTCGGCGCGGCAAGGGAGCTACTGTATCGCTGCAGCGTTATACTGTAGCTGCTATCGTTCGCAAGAAGTCCGGTGGCCTATCGATCTATCGCTTCGTGTTCTCAGGTGATGCCAGCAGGACTGAACGGCAAGGGCCCAACTTGGTTGCTTTTCCAAGCTTTGAGCGGAGCTGCAAGGAGCCCTCACAAGGAGCGGGCGCCAGAGGTGAAAGCTCCGACAGCGCCTGTGGTGCCAGCGCTTTACCCGCAAAAGCTGTCGCCTCCGCCGCGGCCGTCGCCTCGCACTCACCGCCATCAGACCCAAAGGAGGGTGGCGGTGTCTTGTCTCAGAATCCGCCGGAGGCTTCCGCTTTCGCCAGCCCCTGGCTTGGGAGAGGACCGGCGGGTGCACAGCGGGTACGTGGGGTGAGAGAATTGCAATTCGCTTTCAAGCAGCTCGTGTGTGTCAGTAAGCAGGATGCCCGCGTCTCTGGGACCACGGCCCTTGACTCAAAGATATCGAGAGCATTTCTTGCAGTGTCCAAGGCCGGAATGGGAAAGAGTTTCAGGCCGCTGTTGTTTGGATTGAGCTGTGGAGAGCAAGAGTGAGAGCAAGCATAAAGAGGATGAAGGATTGATGTGATCACTGCCTACTAGAGTTCAGAGCGTTAGATCCTCACGTGTGCAGCACGGCCTCTTGGATTTGTTTGTTGTTTCAGTGTGCTGCAGAGAGATCAGCCGGCTGAGGCCTCGAAGAATGCTCCTCCAGAGCCGCCGTATCAGCAGCCAGTACGCCAGCCACCTCCACCGCCACTTCCACCGATTCCGCCACCGCCGCGGGAGGTGGTTGACAGGCGCCATCGTCTAGCGCAAACGTGAAAAGCTGCGCCTTTAGCAAATCCCCTAGCTTTTCCAGCGTGCTCCTGTGTGAGGAGGCCCTTCGGCCGGCGGCCTCTTAGAGAGGTGCGCAGTTCAGAGTGCAGCATGCTCCCGCGAAGTGTCAGGGCGAATGCTTCAGGATGCTTCAGGGCTTGATTTCACTTGACACGATGCGTCGCTGTGACCTGGTCTTCAGGGACACTGAAGTCACTACATATTAATAAAGAAGGCCCTCGGGCATACCGCAGCCATACTCTTGCGGCTCAACAGGCCATAGGAGGATGGACAGCTGAGACTGACTTCCAGAAGGTGCGGAGACCCGCTTCCGGCTTGGAAAAGTTGTCGACTGCCTCCGGCGATGGATGCGTCATTAAGGAAGATTTTAGATGCACAGCTGCAAGATGTCGAAATTCACGGCGAAATCGACGAAGCTTCGTGTTAAACCGATTCTTTCGTGGCGGCTCTGAGGAATCCTTGGACCTCACTTGCTTTCGGGCCGCGCTCGGAGAGCTTGGCCTTTCAAGCCCAGAGGACTCCTTGAGCGGTAAGTCTCTGCCTGTAGTGACTCTAGTTATTCTAGTTGCTTTTTGCAAGCCGGCTGATGTGGCGACTGAAGTATGCCATGGCATGACATCGCCGCGCCACTCTATCTGCAAATCAACGGCTGCAGGACGTGACGTTCCTCCTTGACCAAGATCTACGACAGGCAGCATGGCCCACATGCCAGACCATGCGTACATCTTCAGGATCAGCCTTGCGAGCAGTTCAATCAGTGACCTAGTCCTGTCCGGCAGGTCGGTCTGAACCTGGTTCAGGTTCGCAAGCTGCAGTCGAGGGCTCGCCAGTGGGTCCAAGAAGACGTGGCCCAACAGGCGCCTACCGAGCAAGCCGCTACCAGTAGGGCATCGGACTTTGGCTGTCGCTCGCGTCGCTCTGCGTCTCTATGCTGTGGCATACTTTCAGGAAAACAACAAGTGGCGTGGCTGAGTTGTTCAGGCAGCCGTGGCGACGGATGCTCCATGTCGTTCAACAGATCGAAAGCGCTGCTGCGAGGACCGGCTGGATGTGACCCTCCAGTTTTGTGCCACGTTGAACTTGGTTTGAAGCACAAGGTTTTCCATATTTGTCTCGTTTCTTCTCACTTACTGCCGGTTGGAACGGTTCAGAGTCTCTTGCTCATGTTTTTACACCCGGAAGTCCTCACAATCCCTGGTAATCGTCATCCCGCGAGAGACCAGTATCGCTGTAGACCTTGCCAGGCTTTGTCCGAGTGTGAGTGTCAAAAAATCCGCAAATCTTTGCCTGGAAGTCGGCGAATGAAGACGAGCGAATTGCGAAGCCTCGTCTATCCGAACCGGGAAGGCCACGGGGCAGCGGAAGGGAATAGGATCGGTTGTGATGCATGCGGACGTGTTTGCAGCGCCCCAATCTCATCCACAACACTCTTACACCAAGTCTGGATTCTGGGCGCAGGCTGTGTTGTAGAGGGACACGTGCCAGTGTGCGTATTTAGTGCAGATCTTTGTGGGTGTCCTAGGCTGCTCTGCATAATTCCAAGACTGGTCCAAGCCTCTAAGCAAGCCATTGATTTGCAGGGGAGGCTCGTATAGGCTCGTGTATTGCTGTTTGCTGGACAGAAGTCTCTGCAGTCCTCTGTGGCTGCGGTCCCTGCAGCAAAGCCGCAGTCCTGAGGGAAAGGCTTATCCCCAAAGCTTGCTACATGAAGCGGGTGGGACAAAACCGGAAGAAACCCTCCTACTTGGGAGTGCAATGAAGCTCAGCTTCTTCGGAGCGACTTGGGATCAGCTCGCTGACGCTGTTCGTCATGCAGGGAAGAGGTTAGTGGGAGTGGACCTTCGTACTATTCAAGTGAGCTGGCGGGGATGATGTGAGTTATGCGAGCATGCTGAGCATAGAACTTGAACACCTCGCGGCGTAACATGGGTGTCCGAGTAACCGAAGCCCTAAATCACAAGCGACCTGCGGGCAAAGCAACACTCTCGAGCTGGCCAGGCCCTTTGGCATGTGTGGCCGGAACTTCCCTCGTCGCTTGATCTTCATCAGGCGCGTGAGTTTGTCTGTTAGGGCAGCCTTTCCGAACGGCGACAGGTTCTCAGGTTCCGCGCATCCAGTCGCAGCCGGCCGTGATAAGGTCCTTGATAGCTCAGAGCTGCGAAGGCTCCATTCCACAGTGTTGAACAGAAATCATGCAAGCGGAAAAGCCGTCGAGGAACCCCACGAGAAATCAGCCGCAAATTTGCTCTGGAGCCAGGAACTTGACATGGACATCTATCAGTTATCCCCTCCTAGACTAGACCGTGCTGGAACTGGGAACTTGAAACTGTTTAGTTACGTCCGTCTACGTGCCATCCGCGAAGCAAAGCAGTTCAGACGGTGTAACCGGAGATCGGGAAGCTTCTTGTTGGAGGCGTCTGGAAATGTTAAGACCTCCGCGCAAGGCCCTGTGTCACCTACTCGATTAAACTGCCGTTTCGAAAAAAAAAACAGAAACGCAGCGGATGCAAATGATTATTCAACGGCCATGGCATTGAAAGATTTTGTGCAGCAAACCTACAGTCCGATCTTGCCGAACGGAAGAGAACATGAACAGACCCGGGCCCTATGGGCCCCGAGCATTTCTGGCTGTTCCATATGTCCATTGCTTTGGAGGCATGGTGAGTCTGCTCCCCAGACGATGTCGCAGTGCAGAGACCGTGCAGACTCTTGAGCCTGCAAGCAACGAGCACACTAACAAGCATGAGGGCTGGCAGTATACTTTGCAGAGGTCGGAAGCAAACGTTACTTGGCGGAGAACATGTCACTGGCACCCAGACATTGTGGGACACTTCAGCTGTGGAGACTTGTGTTTAGTTTCTGATTCCTACTACAGCCCAGGTGAACCGCAAGATCACGGAGCCTTGGCTGTGAAATCAGGTCAATCAGGTCGTCAGTGAAGTGTTCTCCAGTTGTTGGTCTTGAGCCATGGGGTGCTGAGGCGACGGTTCCTGACCATGATCTGCACTTGACTGAGAGGCCACAAATTGAATTCAGACAGAGGGCACAGACTGAAGAGTAGCAAGCAGCGGTAACGCACCCTGCCTGCGAGGGGCCGGCAACAAGCCGCCGAAGCAGGGCAGAGATTGGCGAGCCTCGTGGGTGACCAAAGCAGCATTAATTGAATTGAGTGCGCCACTGCAGATGGTCTGAAGCAGAGCAGAGCTTGCGCCCAGCTGCCACAGCTGTTTGTGAGCGGGAGTCTGCGATAGTTTTGTCAGCGTGAGCTTGACTGAGCTCGCGGTGCAGATGTATACGAAGTCAATTCTTGAACAACTCGTTCCTCCTTCAAGTGTCACATGCCGGTTGAAAATCTAAGCGATCCTGGGGCCTTTAGACTGTAGCGTTGCAAACATCCTTTACTTGTGCCCTCTCCCCTTGAGGCGAGGGCTCAGTGAGGCAGGTGCAGTGCATGTCGACGATGTAACCATTTCTAACCTTTGTTCGGACGTCGCCTGGTGTCACTACCGAGATGTCTAAAAATGCTGCGGCGTTCGAATTTGGGTAGGTTCACCTACTCGCCGTACACACGAGCTCGCGACTTGACTGGATAGATTGAAGAATGTCTACCTCTTCGCGCCCAGAACAATTTACAGTCAAACTGTAAGTAACTGAGTATGATGATGATTTGTGAGATTGCGCGTGTTAGCTGTTGTTTCGCCTTTTGCATTTCTGAGGAGCTAGCAGCATTGGATTTTGTGCAGGCCCTTGTAAGGAGGTCTCAGGGGTTCGAGTCTGCAAGTCCGAAACGAGGTGAGACGCTGAACGGTATCCTCCGCGCTGGGGCGCTGGAGAAGTGGCCATGCCAGGAGGATGCACCCTAGCTGCCCTAGCCGATCGAAGGAGATTGCCAAGCGCTTCTGGAGTCCCGTGGCATGCGCTGTCCTGGACATGTTCAGGTCCGCATTCGTGAACAAGAGTTTGGGATGCTTGGCTGTTCCTGCGACTTCCGTGAAGTGAGGCTTTGAGAGGCCTGTTTTGATCGTCGGTCCACTTGGATGGGCGGATCCATTGATTTCTGCCGACTTCTTGAGCCTTGCATCCACGTGCAAACCGAGGAACTACGACAGTCCGGAGATCAAGGTGAGTGCTAGAGTTCCAAACTCTGAATTCATTCTGCCCTGCCTGTCCCTGTCGTATTGAAACGAGTAGCACTATGGACCACTTAGAAGATCAACTATGCGGTGGCAACTTGCACGGGTCCCGGGGGGGTCGGTGATTAAGCCCCGGGCTCGTGCTGCACGTGGGTTTTCAGTGATGTTCCGGTCCAGAGGGGCTCGGTGTTGAACGCAGCAAAATTGAGCGTGTGTTTTTCAGACGGCCTTGATATGTGATGGACAGGATGAGGACTACGACGACGGATTGCATTCAAACAGGACTAGGGACTCACCCTAACGTTTGCGTCAACATTTGAACTGCAGGCGGAAATTCAAGTTTTGAGCCGCATTGGCCCGTGATGTGTCGTCCGTTGGCTTGTTCCATGTTATCAGCGCATCATTGCATCATCAGGATTCATCAGGAAATTGTAGTCGTCGCACAGACAGATGTTTCGACAGCGAATTCGCGCTATCGCGTGCCCTTCCGTGCCGACACTCAAAAAACACCCTTAATCCCCAACGGCAGCAACAGCAGGCTCCTTTTTGAGGAGATCAACAGTTGAGGCAGTTGAGGTTTATGGATTCGTCAAGGGCCAGGGCTCATGGGTTTTTAATTAGAATTGCGGGTGGTTTGTTACCACCTGTACCTGTCACCTGTTCCTGTTTCTGCTGCAATGGAGCCAAACCCTAAACTCGAAGCCTAAAAACCCTAGCCCTAATCGCCCCAATCTCACTAAATCCTGGACCCTGATCAGCCCTGATTCCTAAGCCCTACAAACCTCATACCTAAAACCTTAAATTGCCCTAAACCCTGATCTCCAAACCCTAAACCGTGATCCCTAAACCTAAACCCCATACCCTAAACCCTGATCCCTGAACTCTAAACTCGAAACCCTGCCTTCGGCCGCACAAAACCTTAATTACCGAGAGGGG